AATGAATTTTCTGTAAACATTTACAACAGGTTTTTCTGTCAGGATAAGTTTTCAATTATTTGGATCAACAAATGGAAATGGATTGTTGGTTCACATGGAAAGTGTATGTTTAACTTTAAAGGAAACTGCAAAACTACTTCCAAAGTGCCTATACTATTTTGTATTCCCGCTGGCAGTAAATGAGAATTCCACTTACTTTCTTATCTGTGTTTCCATGACTGAAACATAATACTAGAAATAATCCACTTAAAAATAATCATGGTGGGAGCATGTGCAAAGGAAACCTGTTGAACCTTACAACCCCCTTCACGAGCACATCCCTACTGACCTGAGGTTCTCCCTGAAGTTTGCCCACCTCTGTAAGATTCCACCTCTTAACCTTGTGATCTGAAAACATGTTCTTTTAGATTTGTTAAGGTTTGATTTATGGCCCAGAATAGGGCTTGTGTTGGCAGATGCCCCACGTGCACTTGAGAACATGTGTCCCACTGCTGTTGGTTGGCCTGTCCTACAAACTCCCGTCAGCTAATAGTTAATAGTGCTGGTTAATAGTGCTGTTCAAGTCATCCTTGCGCTTAGGATTTTCTGCCTACTTGTCTATTCATGACTGACAGGGAAAGGTTGAAACCCCCTCTGTAATTGTAGATATCCATCTGTCTGACCTCCAGTGTTTCTTGATGTGCTGTTTTGTTAAGGGCCTGTACATTCTGGATTGTTAATCACCTTGGTGGACTGGCATCTTTATCATTAAGCAATATTCCCTTCTATCCTTGAAATAGTCCTTGTTCTGAAGTTTCTTTTTCTAATATTATTATAACTACTCCAGTTTTCTTTTGGATATTGTTTGATGGTATATAATTTTTAGCATTCTCATATTTTTTACCTATTTATGACTTTATTTTCAAAATGGGTTTTAGAAGTCTTTATATAAATGGGCCTTGACTATTTCTGGCTTTTTACTGATATATTTGGTCATTCAAACTTAACATAGTTATTCATATGGCTAAATTAAAATCTCCAACTAGTAGCTGTTTTTTATTTATTCTGTTATTTTTTTTCATTTTTCTGCCTTATTTTTCATTAATTAAACTGTTTTAAAAACAATTTTTTATTTGTTTATGGACCTTTATTATATATCACTGAGAATTGAACCCAGTGCCTCACACATGCTAGGCAGGCTCTCTACCACTGAACTACAACCCCAGCCCCCTAGTTGAACATTTTTTTATGATTATATTTTTCTCTCCTCTATTGAGTTATCATTTGCACCTCTTTAAACAATTTTTAACCATTGGTATAGGAATCTAAATTTTTGATTAGTGTATCATTATATAATATTTTACCTACTCACAAGTAGTTTGACTTTTAAATATCATAGTTCTACTTCTCTGCTAGTATATATATTAATCATAATATATTTGTATGTAAAATATCTCTACATTTTACCATATATCTGTATTCTATCTACTCTCTGTATACATATCTATGTATATGTGTATGTATTAATGAATCAACAGAAAGATGAAGAGAAATCAGACGCAGGTTTAAAACAGAGCAAAAACCCAAGCAATCAGATAAGGAGAACAGTGCTAGGTGAATCCTGAGGGAGCAGAAGCCTTCACTCTGATCCAGAAAAGTCACTCAGGGTAGCCTGGGAAGGGCCATTGTATTAGAATAAGACTCTTGTAATGATCTAAGACTTACTTCACATCTTCACAGCACTCATACCATTTTTATTTGATGACACCTTAGTTGTCCTGGCTGTCTCTCTAACAAATTGTGAGTTCTTAAAGGGGAGGGAGTTTACCATATGCAAATTACCCTTGTTCTTCCCGTCCCTTTCATATTTTTCTCTTCTCCTTTTCCCAGTTCTCTCATCCTCTCTTCTCTTCTCACCTCCTCTTTCCTTAGCCACCTCTTTTCACTCTCCATACCTCCTTTCACCCACCTCTTAAAAAAAAATCAAGAGGCCTATTTTTATTAAGTTTTAGGTTTACAGAAAACTTTGGAAAGTTCAGAGAGTTTCCATACACACCTTGCCTCTGCCCCCTCAGTATCTGCTATTAGTAATGTCTCGCATTCGTAGGGTACATTGTTGCAATTGATGAACCAATATTGACCTATCACTAATCAGAGCCCATAGTTGACATTAGGGGGGTCACTGTTGGTAATGTACATTCTATGGGTTCTGACATATGTATAGTGACAGTACCCACCATTACAATATCATCCCCAATAATTTCACTGCCCTAAAAATGACCTTTGCTCTATCTGTTCATTTCTCCTTCCCTTCCCAGAACCCTTGGCAATCACTGACTATTTTACTATTTCCATAGCATCACCTTCTCTAGAACGTCATAAACTGGAATCACACAGAACAGAGCCCTTTTGGATTAGTGTCTTTCACTTAGCAATATGCATTTAAATTCCTCTCTGTTTGTCATGATTCATTAGCTCATTTCTTTGTAGCATTGAACATGGTTCCGTTGTGTGGATGGACCACAGCTTTTCTGTTTACCTATTCAAAGACACCTTGGTCTTTCAATTGGTTTTGTAATAATGAATAAAGCTTCTATAAGCATTCATGTATAGATTTTTGTCTGGACATAGTAATATATTTTTTAAATAAGGTGTGGAAAAGGAGGGATTTCTAAGAACAACAGAAACACTAAAGAAAACATGTATTAAAATTTCCAGACTGAGGGGGAAAAAACAAAAACATAACATTTATGAGCAAAACAGCAGGGGGCGGTATTTGCAAAGACATTTTACAATAGTTGACCGTTCTATTTTACTTAGTATATTATGAACTTAAATAGATTACCAAGTCCTTTGACTATTTTGTATTATTTTTTACAGGTATGTCTGTGGTAAGAAGAGGCACATAGCAGCAAATCTCTCTGCAAATCTTGTAAGTATTATAAGATCATAATATTAAAGTCTCAAGAGTCCAAGAAATCTTATAAGTATTTAGACCTGCTAAGGATGACCAGAGTTAGATTTGTGTCTCATTATTAGAAAACATATCATGAAGTGCAAAACAATCGTAATCTATAGACTTTTAGATAGGCAGAGTTATTTTCACAGGACAGAGCTTTGACTTTTGAATGCTAGACATTTCACAGATCTCGTAGGAATAATATTTGCTGTTTTTCTCTGTAGCTGTAGGAGAAAAGGATAATTTACCCCTTTGGTTATTTTGCTGACAGTTCTTTCACCAGCAATCACACTATCCTTTGTTGTAAGACCAGTTGATGGCCAGAATTAGAATTCCACCAATTAACACCGAATGAAAAAGAAGAACCCCAAATAGCCATGGAACTCTGAAAAAGGAAAGGAAAAGATGCAGAGAAGGGGTATACATGTGTGTAATGGTATAGATAATTTGTATCTTTAATGCACAAGGCTTTCTCGAATCAACAAGAAAAATATAAATAACTAAATATAAAAAATCAACTAAGCTTATGAAAAGCAGATTAGAAGAAAGGCACTCAATTGACCTAAATGGATGGCCATCCCATCTCAGCCCAGAGAGCATTGTAGGCGAGGACTGAAGGTGGAATTCAGATTCTTTGTTCCACAGTCAATTTGCATTTTCTCTACTGCACAGGAAGTGGTGGATCCAGATCCCTGTTTTCTGGACTCGGGATTACTAGCCTACATTTCATAAGGTGGGTAAAACTCCACATTTCCCTCCACCATGGAGGCTTAATCACTTAATCACTGTGGTTTTGACACCTTTGAGCAACGTCCCCTTCTTGTATATCAATATTCATAAAATACATGCTAAGCAGGCCTAATGAGTTGGCCTTAGGAATAAAATCATTTATGACAAGCCTGTCTAGAGCTAATAAATGTCTACCAAAATCATTGTTTTTGTTTTAGCAGAGATCATCTTTGGCCTTCTGTTCCCCCCACCCCACTACCTGGCAAAAATGAGATATAAGAGCATTTTAAATAGCAAGAAGATAACATCTTCTGCAGGTTAAATGCCTGACTTTCTTTTTGCTCTCAGGTGGGTGTGCATCCAGCTCATTCTGTGAAATATCTGTTGTCTGAGAAGTTTAAATAACCATCTGATATGGAAGGCCAGGAAGTCCAGCCTGGCTTTCTTTGCAAAATGTGTTTTGTGTGTTATCTGCATTATAACTGCCCTCCTCTCTGAACTGAGCTGGGATCCAAGAGTTAAGTGTATCCCATTTTCCTGCTTATAGTTTTTTTGTGTGTTTGTGAAAAAATTAATCTGAACTCAAACATGCAGGTATCTAACTGGTCAAGCTCTGCTCTAGTCCCCTGAGAAAGTCTCCAGAGGTCCCTCAGCTCAGCCCACACACAGAGCTCCCAGCAGACAGTGTACAAAGACAGTGGTATCAGCCACTCTGGTTGGGTGCCTGTCACTTTGCTTAGCACATCATGGATGGGACTGGTTATCTCCCTGGTGATTGTGGAAATGAAGTCTGCCTGGGCAGGGAACTCCGCTGAGCCTTGTAGTGGGGGTAAACTGAGGGCAGGACGTTTGGCAGAGAAATAAGAGGGAGCCATAGAATGTCTCAAGCTAAGTGTCTAACCCTCATGTAGGCTACTTGAAGAGCTGCCTGGGGTCGAAACTTTTCTGCGAACCAGAATTTCATGTAAGAAACAAACTCAGCAGGCCAAGGTGGAAGCATTGCAAGTTTGGGGCCAGCCAGGACAACTCAGAGACACTCTGTCTCAAAATACTGAGGACTGGGGATGTAGCTCAGTGGGACAGCACTTGCCTAGCATGCACAAGGCCTTGAGTTCAATACCCAGTACTTAAAAAAAAAAAAAAAAAAAAAGGTAATCCTGGGAGAGGCACATTGTCTCCTAGCTTAATTCTGTAGAGAACCTGTTTTGAAGAAAAGCATTGCAGAGATGTGGTGGAGAAAGGAAATGAAACTGTTATTTTTTTTAAAAAAGTGCTGTCTTCCAGTGGTCACACCCATATATCACTTTTTTTTTTTTTAACACGATCCTTCTCTCTCTGGTAGTAAGACTTTGTGAGCCAGTTTTCATCTCTTACTGATCTTGTGTTTTTATGAATTGACAAGAAAACAATGAGAGAGGCTGCCTAGGAGAGGAAGGGGATTGCTCCAAGAACTCTGCAGGCCTTGCAAGACCCTACCTGCACTTGTCACATTGGCCAGGTAAGGAGCTTGCTTTGATCTCCTTGAGCGCCCACCCCACCTGCTGTGTCCCCTCTCTTTCTCTCCCTTCATCCTACCAGTAACAATACGTGCCAACCTGGACAAGGCACTTGATCTTTCTAAATCTTTTCTTTATTCCAAATAAGGATCAGGAATTATACATGCTTAAAAAAAAAGAATTATATACCCCAGTATCCCAAATAGGTGAAAGCTGCAAATATTACTGAGGTTATGTTTTTCAGAACCTAAAATTTTGAAGGGAGTGAGCTCAGACAGTGGTGCTATTTTAATACTAATGAACTTACTTCTTGTGCAAAAGCATTTTTATGTGTGCACACGGTGGCTGCTGAGGCCCTATCTAGGTGCATGTGTGGGTGAGGGAAGAATTGACCCCTCATCCGACCTGCCCACACATATCTTTTTCAGTCTTTGAAGAACAGGCTGGAAATTTATCTTTTGATTGTAATCTTACTTCTTTCTAATTATTTTTCTTGTTATTGATAAATACATAGAAATAATTTCCATTCTAAAGAGGGAGAAACATTTTAAGAGTATGATTCAAGTGACCTGCTCACATGAAGCATTTGCTTTATTTTCTGATAAAAAATACAATTTGCCAGGCACCATGGTGTAATCCCAGCACTTCTGGAGGCTGAGGCGGGAGGATGGTGAATTCCCTGCCAGCCTCAGCAAAAGTGAGGTGCTAAGCAACTCAGTGAGACCCTGTCTCTAGATAAAATACAAAATAGGGCTGGGCTAGAGGTGTAGCTCAGTGGTTGAGTGACCCTGAGTGCAATCCCAGGTACCAAAAATAAATAAATAAAAATGGTAATTAGTTAAAACAACTCTTCAGGATGAAGTTGCAAGCAGCAAGGGCTTTGTTCCTGAGAGTTGCCCTGACTCATCCCTGCACATGTCTGCACACTGTGTTTCCCTAACCAGGGTGCTGTTGGTCTTCAGGAGACTCCAGTGAGGGCAGTGGGGGAGAGTATTATTATTATTACTTTTGAAAAGTAAGAGTAAGATCCAATCCACCAGTTTAAGACCATGTCACCTTTCCCCCCAAAGGCGATCCCCACCATGTCCATCCCCACCCAGGTTCTTCCAGGCCTGGGCACTGGAGAAGCTGCAGGAGGCGCGGCTTCCTGAGGGGCCCAGGGATCTTCCTCCCCCCAGCTAGCTCAGGGGATTCTATCCCAGACTGGGGTGGGAGCTGTCCTTCAAACCCATCTGACCATCCTTCCAGGGCAAGAAATGTCTGCTCAGGAGCGGTGTTTAAGAACAACAGTTTCAAATGAATGAATCAAAGGACTGAGGAGAAAATGAGTGAACAGGCTGATGCCTGGCCAAGAATGCTGCTGTGGGCGATAGGGATATCCAGGCTGGCAGTGTCCTGGGCACGATTCTCTGTAGGGGACATAGTTGGGGAAGGGTGCAGTGAGGAAATGGTGACAGTCACATTGGCTGGAGGTGCGGCAGTTCCGACCCCAGAAGCAACACTGTGATGGGCGGGGGGAAGCCTTAAAAACAAACAAACAAATGAGGAAAGGAGAAAAACTTGGACGTCTTTACACCTGTTTTTACTTCTCTTTCTGCACAGGCTGGATTCTGGGAGAGCAGTGATAGAAGTTTCTCACCTTTGGAGGAAATGGCCTGCTACCAGTCACTTGACCAAACATGTCATGTGAATTATGTAAGTAGCTCTGCTTGACACCCAGAGGGACCCAGGAGCAGTGGGCACAGGGCTACCCCTCCTTGAGCCTGGGAACCACAGTGAAGAATCTACTGTCACTCTTTGGAGTCCTGTTGTCTGCAGTCTGGGAAGTCTTGGTTTTCCCAGTTAGGGGTGGAGAAGAGCCCAAGACCAAGGTCCCTTAGAACTTCCTGAGTTTAGGACTCTCAGCCCCAACCTTCCTCCACCCCCTTTCTGCAGCCTACTCCACATGGTCTTCTCTTTCCTCTGATGCTCTGGAGCCTGCCTGACTGCTCCCCTGGAGACCATCTTCAAGGGGATCCAGGGGCAGCGTGGTGGTGGGGCGGTGTCTTGATTTCATACCATCAGCATTGCAGATGAGCTGACACCTATAAAGTACTGTTTTCTTTGCTTGCCCTCCCCCACTGAAGTTGCATCTTCACAATACATTACCCTTTCCTGTCCTCAAAAAGAACCAGCGGAAGCTGAGAATTGTGTTCAGGTTTGCTCTGTCTCTGGGCTTCCAGAGAGATTTAGCTTTGATGATCCTTCAGCTTCTCCAGGGAAACAGAACCAACAAGATACATGTATTCAGAGATTTAGTTCCAGGAACTGGCTCCTGTGACTGTGGGGGTTGGCAAAGTCTAAGGCTGTAGGTAGGCTGGCAGGCTGGACCCAGGCAGGAACTGGCACTGCAGTCTGGATACAGAGTTCCTTCCCTGGGAAACCTCAGTTTCCCAACTAAGTTTTCTACCCTGTCCTGGAGGCTGAATGTCACACCTGTACAACACAACACCCTCACAGCAACACCTACATTCATGACTGACTAGATCACCTGTGCCACAGCCTGGGCCAAACTAACACAGAATGACCTTCACGCTCAGTTTCAAAGTCTCCTGGACTGCAGGGGACAGAAAACACTCCACGCAAAAGGCTGGCACATGCTTGGATGTCAGAGCAGGCCTGAGTCATGTGATCAGACTGTGGCTCCTCAGCTTGGGTAACTCAGACCTGAATTGTGTATCCCAACTGGGAGTTTCCACGGGACTAAGTGAAGAACAGAGAGGCCAAGGGCAGAAAGTTGCTATCATTTCTCTACTCTCTATCCTCAGAGGAGTTACAAAGAAGTTGCGAGGGAATTGTCTGATAGAAGCTAAATTTTGACATTCAGTATTTAAGTTAAAATGATTCCAAATTGATTTACTAATTTTTGTTTCCTGTCAAGGTGATCGCTGAATAATTTCTTATGTAGAGGGGCTCCATGGGATCTTCTATGGTGTGATCCCATAGAGCTCCAGGAAAACTCATTTATTCCAAAAAGTCTTTTTTTTTTTCTTCCCCCAATTGACCCACGACAGAGCCTGAGATTCTGCAATTAGGTGCTCATTTTGAGCAATAACTTCTTAAACCTGTTACAAGGAAACACCTGAAAGTTTTGCATCAACAAGGTCCTGAGAGCACTTTGGTAGGTTGTGCAGTGAACCCAGAACTCATTCTTCCATGCAGCCTGGATGGACCTCCTGAGTGCAGGAGTAGGAGTGGGGGTGGGAGAGGAAGCATCAAGAGAAAGGGTCTGAGGGACCGTGAAGAAGGCGAGGGGGCTTGAGGAGAGACACCTCTGAGGCAGCTGCTGGTCCAAGACTGTGCTGAGGGCAGGAGCACTGATCTGAGCTGATACACCAGCTTTTCCCTCAGATGCTAAACATGCCCCCTATTCCTCCCCCCAACTTGGACCCCCACAGTCTCCACTTCTTGGATGGACAACTCCTCCCGGTTTGCCTGGAATTTCCCCAGTTTCAGCACAAAGAGACCTTTGATGAGGACTCTGCTCAGTCCTGGGCAAATCAGGGAAGCAGTCACCCTAAGTGCTACATCACCATGGAAACAGAAAAGAATTGTTTTTATGAGTTTCTTGAATGGGGACAACAGCCAGACAAACTTCAGTTTGGGTGGCAGCACTGAGACCCTAAAGGCAGACCAGGCCCCCAGACAGCTGCATGCTCAGTAGAAAACGCCTGACTGACTTGTTTGGTCCTCTGTTTGGTCTTTTTTTTTTTTTTTTTTTGGCCACTCTCACTAAAGATGGGCCACAGGAAGAGGACATGCCTGTGCTTGCCTGTTGGGGCCAGCAGGTTTTAGTGTCAGAGCATCTGTTAAATAGTGTGTGACCTCAGCAAGTTTTGATTTTGTTTTTTTGCCTCCATGTCCTCATCAATAAAATGTGATGTTTTCTGTCAGATGTTACATCCAACTCCAGCATGAGCCATCCTTGTCTGTTTTCCTCTCTAGGAAAAAGCAGAAGGGCTCTGGAAGGACAGAGAAGGTGCCTCCCCCACAGGTAAGGAGGCAGCAGGAGGAGCTCGGGGTGGAGCTTTTCTCAATAGAGCTGGGGGCCAGCCTCCCCAGGCACAAGACTGTGTTCACCCCAACAGGAGCAAAGGCCTTTCCCAGGGAATTGAACTATTAGGCTATTAGCTTGCATACTCTCCTTAGCAAGGGCAAACTTCCCCTGCCTCTTGTAAAACAGAGCCCAGGCAGGGAGGGGAGGAGCAGAAGTGAAGGATGAATAGCTCAGGGCCTCCTGAGAGAGTCTGGGGGCCTCAGGCCTGAGCACAGGGAAGGCCCTGGAAAGGGTGGCAAAATGTAGCAGTTCCCAAAGATATAATGTCTGGGACTCCGACCAGCTCGGTTAACTGATTCCACGATTTTTGTGCCAGTCTCCTTTTTTTTCACTACACGTGGGTGTGAGGTGATGGAGCAGATGGCCCCCTAATTGGCCTAGGGTGAGCGTTCCTCTGGGTCTTGCCCTTCTGGTTTTCCTCCTCCTCTTGACAAAGTATTTCTTACATATTAACTTTTCGTGATGGCTTCCTCCCAGAAGCACGGCTGCTGAGGATCCTCCTGGTGGGCAGAACAGGCAGCGGGAAAAGCGCCACAGGAAACAGCATCCTCTGCCGGCCAGCCTTTGAGTCCAGGCTGGCCGCCCAGTCGGTGACCAGGGCCTGCCAGGGGGAGAGGGGCACGTGGAATGGGAGGGACATCCTGGTGGTCGACACGCCCTCCATCTTTGAGGCAGAGGCCCACTCGCAGGAGATGTACAAGGACATCGCGGACTGCTACCTGCTGTCTGCCCCAGGGCCCCACGTGCTGCTCCTGGTCACCCAGCTGGGGCGCTTCACGGCCCAGGACGCGGTGGCAGTGAGGAGGGTGAAGGAGGTGTTTGGGACCCAGGCCATGAGGCACACGATCGTGCTCTTCACCCACCGGGAAGACTTGGGCGACGAGTCCCTGGACCATTACGTGGTCAACACGGACAACCTCGGCCTGCGCCGGCTGCTGGCGGAGTGCGGCCGGAGGTACTGCGCCTTCAACAACCGCGCGGCGGGCGAGCAGCAGCGCGCGCAGCTGGCCGAGCTCATGGCGGTGGTGGAGCAGCTGGAGCGCGAGCGCTCCTACCAGGGCGACCACCTCTTCCTCCCCGGGCCGCGGCTGCAGCCAGGCGGGGGCGCCGGCGGCCCGGAAGCCTATGCGCACTACGTGGCCGAGGTGAGGGCGCAGGTGGACAGGCAGAAGCAGGCGCTGAGGAAGGAGGAGAGGAACTGCAAGGTCAAGGCGATCCGCAGAGCCGAAAACTGCACGATTCCTCGCTATGTAATATCTGCCCTTTTGATTTTATGCGGTGTGCTTACTCTTGTCATTTTAATGACCTTTTATATTAAGCGCGGGAACTGAACATTTTCAAGTGATTGCCCCCAGAGCCACCATCAAGGTGTGGCATTTTCTTGCATATGGTAATTAATGTTGGAGAACAGACAGCTGCAAATGGTGGGAACAGGAAATTAACAGAATAATTCTGTTAAATGGGCCCACTGTGCTGCCCCCGGCCCCCACCACATGCTTTTCCAAGAAGCAATTTACCTGAAGCTCTGCCTGGCCTAAGTAGACAGGCTGTGTCACATTTCTCAGCAAACTACCTGCCATCTGCGGAGAAATGCAGGTGATAAACCTAGCCTAATTCCCTCTTAAGATCAGGAGCCATCTTGTCCCAATTTATAAAGGATTTATTTCTGTTTTCTGTAAAACAGAATTTCTGTAAAATAGGATTTCTGCATAGCCTGGCCATAATTTGATGTTGTAAAGCTGCTGGGAATGCCTGCCTGTGCCTTGAACTCACCCATTTAGGAGGCACCACTAAAGTGGTGCCTCCAATCTTGGCCTTCTCTGGCCAGATAATGACCCTCTCTGAGGCTCTAATGACCTTCATAAATTCTGATGGCTGTCGGGCCAGCAAAATATGAACTAGCTTTTGTGTTACGCTTGTCAAAATTTTGTTATCTGTAAGTTCTCAAACCCCCTTTGTGTAACTTTCTGTGCTATAAAGCTGTACTCTTGGAGAGCTGGGGGGTTGTCTGTGGTTCCATGGTTTTAGGGAGAGACAGCCTGGCTGGTCAAAATAATAAGCTTGCTTTCACTTGATTTTAATTGGAGTTGGTGGTCTTTTCTTTGCATCATGGTCTAACACAGGCCTGAAATAATGTCTATAAGAGGAACACAAGTTAACCTGAAGGGGGAGACTTTTGTGATCTTTTTCACAGACCAGATCCCACAACTTAGGGAGATAGGATAATTTCTCCTAACCATAAAATCTGTGAGAATTTATGGTTAAGAATCCAATTAGAACCCTAAGTACATGTATGAAAACACACATGGTGTAACTGTACTTTGTGTTCAACCAGAGACATGAAAAACTGTGCTGTATTTGTGTAATATCAATACAATTGCATTCTGCTGCCATATCTAGCTAATTAGAATAAATAAAATAAGAATTTTTTTAAAAAAAATAATCCAATTAGAACCAGTCAGCAGGGCTCTAGCCATGACCTAGAGCTGTCATGGATGTGGGAACTTGAAAGTTTGATGTTATCCTGCTGTCTGTCAAAAGTGAAGAGGTGGATCTGGGTGGGACTCTCTGGAAATGTCTCTGGGATCCTCAATAAAACTAGGGTGCAGGAGAGGCATGTTGTCCCTCTCCTCTCTAAGTGGATCCACTCTCTCCCTTGAGAGTGTTCCCTTCCCCTTTTCCTGTCCCTTCTATAAACCCATGCCTGTTTCTTTGAGCAATATGTCTGAAATCTTTCCAACTTGATCGCAAGAATCAGGGTTTCAAAGGTGGGGGGCCTTTGCACTGCCTCAGTTTCCCAGAAGGCCCAGCAGTTTTAGGTAATTGAAACTCAAAGGAGTGTTGTTTTGTTTTGTTTTGTTTTGAGAGAGGAGTTGGTTAAAAATCATGAGGGTAAATGATGGAAGCCACCATGAAATACCTGTGGGCTTGAAGGGAGGAAGGTGCCTGGACTGTGAGCCTCTGGGAATGCCTCATTCCTGGGCTCCAATTTCTATATTGTGATGTCAGGAGGAGACGCATGTTATTTCTTATTTTATTCACAATCATATCCCGACCACATTACCAGCTGCAAAAGTTGATGACTTGTCACCTCTCTGCACCCCTGAGTGGGGAGACGATGAGGGCAGTCTGCAGAACAAACCAGGGGGTTCTGGAGATGTGGAAGGGGCTGGAGAAAGGGGGCAGGAGCAGGGAGTAGAGTGAAGGATCACAGCAGCGGGATGGAGCTCACCAGGGAAAGTAGTTCACAGCAGGAAATACAGGCAGTGGAATATCCCAGAGCAGGGGCTGTGATGGACCAGAGAGAAGGTATCTTGGGCTCAGTGGGCTAGATGGTAGATATTACAACTACTCAACTGTCCTTGTATGCAAAATCCACTGTGAACAAGAGGCTGCATCCCATAAAACCAATGAACACTGAATTTTGAACTTCATGTAATTTTCATGTATGAAGAACAAGCAGTATTCTTCTGATTTCTTCAACCGTTTAAAAATGTAGTTGGATGTGATGTCACACACCTGTAATCCCAGCTACTCGGGAGACTGAGGCAGGAGAATTGTAAGTTCAAGGCCATCCTGGGCAATAGTGATACCCTGTCTCAAAAAAAAGGGGGGGAAGGGGAGGGTTCTGGGGATGTAGCTCAGTGGTAGAGCACTTGCCTAGTATGCTCAAGGGCCTGCGTTAGATCCCCAGCAGATTAAAATGCCAAAGCACTTCTTATATCACAACTGCACAAAGAGGCAGTGGCCCTGGTTTGGCCCAGGGCCTGCCTTGTCATAGAATAAATTTCCCACTGTTGCCTGGGATGCATGGGTACATGGCATCTTTAACTTCAAATCAGTAAATCCTGGACAACTGTGTGACGCCTGTGGGGATTTGGGGAAAGGGTGGATCCACATTTCAGTGGTAGTAAGGAGCAGGAAGACACTGGGGTGCAATACAAGCAGAAGGTGGAATTCAGTGGAAACAGGGAAACCCATGAAACCGTGTGGTCGGATATATAAGATGAGGACAGGGATTATATTTAGAGGAAAGGTTTCCCTAGAGGCAGTCAGGACCTGGGCTGTACCACTAGCAACAGGGATAGAGAGCAGGAGGTATGGGAGACACTGAGGGTGGGGTCAATGCAAGATGGTCACTGACAGCATTAGGGGAGGAACCAGGATCTGTCTTGGCAACCCCTGAAATGCAGCTCCATCTGCAGCAGTGCCCTTTGGAGTAACAACGGGTTGAGGAGAAGAAGGTGAAGACTTTGGATCTGGATATGCTGACCTTGAAGCCCTCTGAGGGCTTTGGTCCAATAGACAATGGATGGTCTCATCCTCCCTCCAGGGAAGGCAGTCTGGTTCCAAGAAAGTATCAGAGAGTGGGGCTTCAGGAGGTTGGCCCCTCCATGTGTGTGGGTGGCTCATTCCCAGGCTTCCCAGTCAAGACTCCGCCCACCACTTTCCCCTGAGCAGTGTTGCCTGGTCCCCAGCTGACATGCCCCTTGTGAACTTCCAGGGGACCAGACTGAGCATTAACCCAGGGCATCTACAGGAGGAGTGAGGCTTTCCCTCGCCCTTCCTCCCACAGGAATGTTTGCTACACAGATTCCTTGGAGCATGCAGATGTGAGCTCTGTTGTCTCAGATTTCCCTCTGACTGGTGAAGAATCACAGAGGAGCACTGCCTAGAAATAGTATTTCCTCTGCTCCCATTTGTCAAAATAATCCAACTAGAAGTATTTTGCTAATTTCCTAATTCTAAGAACAAGAAAAAACAAACCTTTTCATTTACTCTGGATGCCACTTCCTCAAAGGAAGCAAGAGAACAGGGAAATTCTGACAGATTTCAAGGATAAAAAAGGAATGTGGAGGACTCTTCATCAGTCCAAATGCTTTTAAGTGCAGGTGAAAAAAGACCTGAAACCCAAATAGCTTGCCCTATTAGGAAATGTGTTGGTTAACATAACTGGAAAAGCAGAGATAGAGTAGGGTTCCAGGGTGGAGGACCCGGGGTCTGGGTTTTATTCCATCTCTCTGTTCTACTTGGAAGCATTGTCTTCAAGTCTGAGTTAGTAGCAAGATGGCTATTGCAGTGCCAGGACCACAACCAGACCCAACTAGGTCAAAAGGAAGAAGAGAGGCTGGTTCTTGCTATAGTTCTCCCCTGGGAAGGAAAAACCTCTTACTCCACCTACCAAGACTTTTACTCACTTCTCATTGGTTGGCATGGTGTCTCATGAGCATTTCTGAACCAATCATTGTCAAAGAGAATGGCACTGTATGTACCTATGTGTATGTATCTATGTATTTAGTTGATGATAGTTTTTAAAAACATTTTCCACATTTTATTGTTATATTATAGTTGTACATATTGAGGGGATTTGTTGTTACATATTCATATTGCACACAATATATCAACACTCAAAAAATAAATATCTGCCTAAATTTTTAAAAAAACAGGACTCATGATGAAAACTACAAAACACTGGTGAAAGAAAGAGAGGAGATATTTCATAGATTGAAAGAATCTACTGGTTAAAGGTGTTGACTCTTGTCAAATTGATGTAAAAATTTGGTAAACAATTATTATCAAAATCCTAGCAAAAATTTTATAAATAAGAATTACTTGGGAATTTATATGGAAACACACACAAAAAAAAATTATTCCTTAAAATCCCCAGCATTTTCCCCCTTCTTCCCTTCCTCCTATCTCTAGGTCCCTTTCCTCTACTGATCTCCCCTTGATTTTTAGGACATCCATCCCGAACCTTTCTTTTTCTCTTTCCTCTCTAATTTCCACATATGAGAGAAAATAAATGACCCTTGACCTTCTGAGTTTGACCTGTTATAGATGGTTTCTAGTTACATCTATTTTCCTACAAGTGCCATCATTTCGTTTTTCTTTATGGTGGAATAAAACTCTTTTATGTGCATATACCATATTTTATTTACCCACTCATCCATTGATGGATACCTAACTAGGCAGTTTCCATAGTTTTGCTATTGTGACTTGTGCTGCTATAAACATAGGTATGCATGTGTCATTGTAGTAAGATGACTTTAATTCTTCAGGATAAATACCAACGACCTGCAGGATAAACACCATAGGACCACCTGGATTGTATTTAGACAAAACATCCCTGGAACTGAGGACGGAGCTCTGAACCCAACCGGAAGTCTGTTAAGAAAGAAGGGGAAACGCAGCTGCCTAGACCTGCAGCCCTCGACAGACCAGGGGGGCCTCTTTCTGATGGAGGATACTTAGAGCAGTGGATGCGGTAATTGATATATTTTGAAATCCCTAAAACACAAAGCATCAGACCTGATAATATATGATCAGCGCAATAACAGTAAGAATTAAGCTGCACCAAATAATAATGGCACAAATTTCAAAAAAAGTGCACTTTTCGGCTCTGCGGGTCGCCTTGACCTTGCAGTTCCTCTCCTCCTTCCGCAGCGCCTGCTTCTGCCTGTCCACCTGCGCCCTCACCTCGGCCACGTAGTGCGCATAGGCTTCCGGGCCGCCGGCGCCCCCGCCTGGCTGCAGCCGCGGCCCCGGGAGGAAGAGGTGGTCGCCCTGGTAGGAGCGCTCGCGCTCCAGCTGCTCCACCACCGCCATGAGCTCGGCCAGCTGCGCGCGCTGCTGCTCGCCCGCCGCGCGGTTGTTGAAGGCGCAGTACCTCCGGCCGCACTCCGCCAGCAGCCGGCGCAGGCCGAGGTTGTCCGTGTTGACCACGTAATGGTCCAGGGACTCGTCGCCCAAGTCTTCCCGGTGGGTGAAGAGCACGATCGTGTGCCTCATGGCCTGGGTCCCAAACACCTCCTTCACCCTCCTCACTGCCACCGCGTCCTGGGCCGTGAAGCGCCCCAGCTGGGTGACCAGGAGCAGCACGTGGGGCCCTGGGGCAGACAGCAGGTAGCAATCCGCGATGTCCTTGTACATCTCCTGGGAGTGGGCCTTTGCCTCAAAGATGGAGGGCGTGTCGACCACCAGGATGTCCCTCCCATTCCACGTGCCCCTCTCCCCCTGGCAGGCCCTGGTCACCGACTGGGCGGCCAGCCTGGACTCAAAGGCGGGCCGGCAGAGGATGCTGTTTCCTGTGGCGCTTTTCCCGCTGCCTGTTCTGCCCACCAGGAGGATCCTCAATGAGGCCGCGGTTGCAAAGCAGATCTCTTCTACTTCACCTGTGAAAAAAATAGGGAGCTGTGCTCTACCAAGTTGTGATTTTCAGACCATGGACCCTCATGGGAGTCTCTCACAAGCTAAGGACCTCCTTCGCAGACACATAGGCATATTTAAATGCATCCAAATGTGTGCCTACAATGTTAACCGGTTCTTGAATTGTAAGATGCCCAGCTGGGGCTCTGGCTTGACCTATAGCCAGGGGCCAGAAGTGCCACACTAAGGAGCTGCTCCACGCACTTCATCTGGATGATTTTTCTTGGGGGGGAAAAAAAAAGTGGTCCCTATGCTTTTATCTGAATGGTGCTTAGGGCAGGCCAGAGGGCACTGACTATTAAATAAATGTGAGTCTAGAAGGATGCAGAGATGAGAAGCCCAAGTATACCTCTCTCATGCACAAGTTCCCAGGTATACAGCGTAGATGAGCTCAGTGCCCTCACCTGGACCTTAAGAATAAAAAAGGTCTCACATGGCTGAGCTGTAGTGACCACCACCACTGCCAGATGAACATCCCTGTGTCTCTTTGTTGGGGGGAGTGGGGTTCTTGAATTTGATATGATTCCTCATCTCAAATTGCGACCTCCTGGGTCACAGTTAATGTTAATGCAAAATCTGGGAGATGACACTAGAATGGGTGGCTAAAGAAGATAAGACCATCAGAAGCACATGTGCTAGAAAGACCATCTATTTGGTTCATTGAAGTGCAGGAAATTATAACAAAAGTGGTGTAGGAGATGATGGCTCTGAGCCAAGAGCTAAATCTTCAATATTGGAGGGGGTGAGAATCTGGAGATGTCTAGAGTTCTTTAGACCCAAATGAACTCAACCTCCTTTTTAGGCACCTAAAATTGATTATTCTGTTCTTTCTATGCCATGTTGAGTCTTCCTTTTGTTATGTATTCTGGGGGTGTTTCAATCAATCAATCACTAAGTCTCTATGGGGAACTTTTTTCCAGTGAGAGGAACCAGGGCAAGAGAAACCATGTTCTTCAATTCCCAACCCTCTAACCTCTGGCCTGAATTTCATTTCTTCCACAGGCTGTGCAGGGACAGCGTCACACCATGTAGTGTGTGATTGGTGACAATGGTGGGCCAGGCACAAGAGGGCTAGAGAGGTAGGGAACAAAGGATAGTTGCCCTTTTCTTCTTCAGTCTAGAATAATGGGGTTTCCATCCCTGTTTCGGGGGTGGGCTATGGGTAGGGAGGCAAGAGCAACTCTCCCAAAGACTGATGCTCTTTAGAGCTTCCAGACTTTCTTACCTTTATTCATAGTCCCATATCTGCTTTTCTGAAACTCTTCCATTCTTTTCTGGAACAAAAACAGGAAAGGAATAAAAGGTGGTATCCATATATGAGCTGGTAAGCACCTCAATTCTGAACAATTATTAACTTAAGAATTATTATCCTTAGATAGTGCTTTCCATTGCTAATTTTCTAACTTATATTTATTCGAAAGCATTTATAAGTGCTTTGCACACAGGAGCCAATGCTGGGTTATTCTAACATGGTGCTCTGTGGCTTTTCTCCTTAGCTTGCAGCAAAACAGGAAATGTTTTTAAAAGCAAATCAGTTGATTATCACTCTCAAAACTGAAAGCCACAAAATGAAGCAAGCATTCTTCAGTGAATGAGGAGTGGGGCATCATTTTCTTTTTTTTTACTGGTACCAATGTAGGCAAACTTGCAGACCAGACAAAACAATGCAACTAACACTGATGTGTTTGAATACTGGGGATTTTCAATCCCTAACACTCCATTAGATGAATATCCCCATGAGAAAGGGGCACATGAAAGGCACTTTCCAGTGGGAGGGTGGCCCTGGGGACTGGGCACTTCTCCAAGGACCCGTGAGAGATGAGGGATTCAAAGGGAGGGAGCATGAGGGCTCCCCGCCCAGCGACAGGTGGAGAGATGATGGGGCTGTGGCTGAAGGGGAAGAATCAACATTAGAGACCAATTCAAAATATTTCCCACTTAATTTTTAGTCAAATGTCTTTCCTGATTGGTCTCCTAATAATTACCATTTTGGAACCCAATAGGCTTAACCAGAAATTGGCATAAGCACTGGCATAAATTCTTCATTCAAATGAGGCATAACACTGACATTTTTCATGTTAGGGAAAAGTAAGCACACATTAGAAGGATGGATGGTGAGATGCTACTAGGAGGATCAACTCTTACCTTATGTTTTATTTGCTCAGTTTTAAAGATGGCTGAGTTGTGAAACAAACTTTTTGAGTGGGGAAATACACAGAATAATAAAACAAATATTCACCATTTGCAATGAATAAATTTTACCACAGCTATTCTGTTTGGTTAAGAAATTAAAACATCATAGATATATTTCCCATTTCTTTTTCTTTTTTTAATATCTAATCATTCTTTCCTCCTCCTTCTGTCTTTCAGAGGCAATCAATATTCTGGGATTTTTTTTTTTTCAATGCTGGCAATCAAACCCAGGGCCTCAGGCATGCTAGGCAAATGCTGTACCACTGAGTCATACCATCAGACCTCTCCAAGGTCTTTATAAATCTTTCTTATTTGTATATTTACATTTCTGTATACATATGCATCTATCGAGAACTCACAATACTGGTTTTGTATTTTATACTTTTACAGATTTTTGGTAACATTTTATCCAATTCTTTGTTAACAAACACTTAGGCTGTTCTGAAATATTTGCTTGCTACTACAAATGATGCTGCAAAAGAATTTGCATAGACACTCTTTGCACATGGGTGTTAACAATTTATATGGGGTATACCTTTTCAACTGGGTAGATATTGCCAAATATGACTCTGGGTGGGTTGTGCTAATTCATGTTTATATCAGTCACATGAAAATTCCCCAACTTTTCCCCAATTAGTGATGTTACACTTAATTTTTATCACCCTTCTGAGCAGAAATAAGGATGTCTCAATTGGTTGAAATTTGCATTTTACTGATTACTGTTGAATTCAAAACAGTTTTCATAGTTGATTTTATATTTAAGTTACTCCTATTATTTTATCTTTTACATATTTTACTATTCACTCAGTGGATTTTCTTTTCCCTTATTAGAGGAAACCATCCATTTTTCTGTTATCAAATACATTAGAGCCATTGAACGTTCTCTGATCCCTTCCCCACATTCTCCCTTCCCCTCTCCTCCCTTCCTTTCTTCCTTGCACCCAGAGAAGAGCCTTCTCCTCATCACCCTCTCCTATACATACTGTTCTCGTCTCTGGTAAGTTATATCCTGGCTTTTGCTAAAAATGCCCCAATTCTCTGACACTATTTTTACCTATCTATGTAATGAGGACACTGACTGTGGAGGTGATGTTGATGATGAACTTCATCATCCTGATTCATCTCTGTGTGGCCATTTATAATGTTCAGACTCCTTTCATGTCCACTGTGAAAACTGTTCTCCTATGTTCCCTGTGATGTGACTAAGGTTCGTATTAAAATTTCTATTAAAATCTTAGGAAAAAGCATCAAATGACCGCATATTTGTCATGAAACTAAATCCTCAAAGTGACTCCTTTGCCTGTGTATTCTTTATGATTTCTTAGTGGAGAGACAGGAGCAGAGGTGGGGAGGGAGAGGGAGAGGATGAACAAATTCCAGAAGAGTCAGCAGCCTCCTGGATGTAATACCAACATGCAACGTCAGGACACAAATTGATATCGACAGGCTTCCAGCCTGTCCTACAACCAACACAGAATTGTATTGCAGAATGTTCATTGTATGTTTTTACAAAGCTAACTAAATAAAAATAATTAAAATAATCAAAACTAATAATTAAAGTAATTTGAATTAAAATAATTCAAAGAAAAAAAATTCAGGGACAGGAGTTGTTCTGCGTTGAAACATTTTAGTTTGAAACAATCTGGTATTTTTTCTAGATATATTTCTCAGTGTGACCCAAATGGTGTCCTGAGGCTGTCACAAAATCCAATAAAATGTTACATCATTCAAAGTGCAGCAAAAGTGGTTATCTTGTGCCTGCTTTTGAGTGGATCAGGTTGCTAGGGGAGATGTGTGTCCCATGGGGGAATAGTTTTGGCACAGAGTAACAAATGACGAAGTGTCCAGAGGTGAGTCAGGAGGGATACTGATGGAGATGTTAAAGGAGACATAGAGAAGAAGGAAAGGAACCGAGTCAAGTTTAGGAGAAGTCTGTGGACACATGGTGGACCTGAAGGAATGTGAAGCCTATTGGTCAGCAGAGCAGACAAAAGTGAGTGTATGTGGGGGGTGTGTGTGGGGGTTTGAGAATAGAGAGACTTCTTCCCCCCAATAAAAATCCTACAAATTTTTCCTAACAATGGACAAGGACACATGGAGATTGGCAGGTAGTATGTGGGCAAAATAGTAGCAGCAACTGATAAGGGGCAGCAGGAGGGTCCAGCTTAGGGAGGAGGTTGAAGCAAATGATCATAATGTACATTCTGAATTGAAAATTGCATGGTCCTGATTTTATCACCATGATACCCATTTATCAAATAATGCAAATATTTTATCAAATAATGCTATTTTGTGAAAGATTCAAAACAACTGTTATTTTCTTCCTGCTTCATTAGTATGAACTTGCCTGATCCTTACGTTTCCACTATGAGAATCACTGGTTGACAGGTCTGTCACTGTGATTCCAAGAGGCGTTTCTCTCACAGGTTAGCTGACCAAGGGACTCTTCACATGTGCCCTGAATCTGGGACCGTTGTCCTAGATTCACACAGTACAGTATCATAGCAAAGGTGCAGGGACTTGGGATGGGAGAGGGCAATGAAGTGGTATTGAGAAGATCAAGGTCAAGGTTTTGAGAAGAGCAAGGTCAAGTCCACTGAAGAGTCTTGTGTGCTCAGCGGAGCCCTAAGAAGCCATCTGACTCCTGGAAGGAGGTGCCTGCCACGTTGGGGTGGGCTGAGAAGTGGGAGGCTGAACTGCAGAACTAAACCTCCACCCCTAAGGAAGCCCGGGAAGCCTGGGCCCTCTGGGAGCTTCCATTGTCTCGTTTGTCAGGCAGGATGAGGGGAGGGCCCAGCCTTGTTCCCCGGGTTTCAGGAGAAGGAGTGGGCTAGGGAACGGACAGAGAGCCTCAGCAAAGGCCACGGAACAAGGCGGCCTGTGGACAAGCGGGGAGGTTTAGGCTGGTGTCCCGCAGCTCTCCGGCTGCCGTTGTCCACGATGCTCACTCCATTGCACTGCTTCGTTGGCCAGGGGACCCAGAAGGACGAGCGCTTTTGCAAATTCGCGTTCTAAGTTAGAACTTATCCATGGTCCTTCAGCCCCCAGAGCATCCCTGAGCGTAAACCTGCCTCCTTACCGCGGGCGGCGGTCAGCGAGCGCGAGGTTCCTCTCCAGAAGGCGAAGGACAGCAGAGCCAGGGCACCTGCTGCGCTGAGCCAGACGCGGTAGGGAGCAGCCCGGGCGAGCGGAACCCTCCGCCCAGCTGCAGGAACACCGGGAGGATGGCGCGCTCGGGCTCCCAGCGGACTCGCTGGGGTTGTTGGAGACCCAGTGAAAGCAGGTCTCTGGGACCAGCCAATGAGTGACTTGACCCTGCACTTCCTGCCCGTGGGCCACCCGCCGTCCACCCCCTCCCATTTCCCCTTTGTGACTCTTAAAGTGAACAGTATTTGGAGCAAAGAGGTCTTGGAGGGAATGACACAGCCTTTCCCCTCCTCCAGGTTCAGAAAAGCACCCCCGCCCCAATGTCTGGGAAGTGCTGGGGCTCCAGCCCTACCCCCAGCACCCCAGCATCCATGGTGAGCACCTGTGCCTCTGCCTCCTCACACCCCTGGGCCCCTTCTCACTGGCTCTAATTTCTGGAATCTTCCTGCTACCCAGGAGCAGAAAGACCCTGCTAGTCCTGGAGAACCTGGGTGAGCCCCTGGCAGCAAACCACGTGGGCTGGCTGCCTCTTCTTTGCCACGTGACAGAGCCAACCCTAGGCACAGGCTCCAGTGTATCTGTGCGTTTATTTGGGTGGGGCTGGTAGCAGGGCTCTAGAGTGTCTATTTTCCAAATGATTGCATGTTTAAAGTTTAAGCAACCATCATAAAGCAATGACCTCGCACAGTGGGGTTGAGAATACAAAATGGATTTAGGTGGAGGCTGTCATACGCCAGAGAATCCCCACCTTCCTTCCTTTCTGTTGGCTTTTAAAATTAGGTTTAGAGTCACATCATGATCATTATCCAAGGTTTGATGGGGAAAATAAAAGTTTCCTGTCAACCCAGAAAACATCCCCATGAAAGTGGGCGAGAAAGAGAATAGCTTTATTACACATAAGCATTAAGCCAGAATGTGATGCACATCACAGGTAATCCACTGAGAGATTGGTCACAGATGTTACCTGGTCACATAGCCAAGCAGATACCACCCATGAGACGTGTGTTCTCAAGATAAGCTGTAATTAATCCTCAAGTGAGAGTGTGGCAGCATCCTTTATCACTAATAA